AATGCTTTTGAGGATCTGAGCCTAGGGTGCCCAATTCTCATTGACTTGCAATGGCAATCAGGTACCTAACTTCTCTTTATGCCTTTGACTATCTCTCCTGCTGGTTCCCACACTGCTAGACTCCTTGGTTATCAGTTTGTGCACGTTTACTTTTACTACAATTATCCTCCGGGGTTGGGGGGGGGGGGGGGGGAGTGCAGAATGGAAGAATGTGTGTTGTTCTTACAGTCTTCGTTCCTCAGACAATGGTAGACAATACGGTTTCCTCCAACTGTGTAGCGCAAATGCTCCCCCCAGGGGAAGGACTCGCCAGAGGGGCGCAGACAACCTCTCCTTTGTTCTCCAGAATCTTAAGAGAGTCTCTAGATGTTACATTGGCAAAGAAAACCTTCAAAACATGCCCCAAGTGTAACCAAATCAGAAATGTCTGCCTAAGTTTGCACGGACTCCAAAATACCGACTCTGAAGTGTGAACATTATGCATTTCAATGGGTACTAACTTAGCTATCAGTGAGGATACTTTAAATGCACTATTGCCAATTCATGCAATTTCAACAGCAAGTAACACAAATTTAGCCCTGCTAAAGAATTTCTGGCCATTGCTCAGTTTTGGGAAAGCTGAATAATAATAAATAATAATAATACCTATCTCAGCACTTTTCATCTGTATATCTCAAAGTGCTTTGCAAAGGAAGCAAGTATTATTACTCCCATTTTACTGATGGGGAAACTGAGACACGGCACAGTGACATTACCCAACTGGATGTGGCAGAGCAGGGAATAGAACCCCAGGTTGTCTTAGTCTAGTGCTCTATCCACTAGGCCACACTGCCTCCTTCACATAATTCCAAAGCTTGTAGTTTGTAACTGCAAGTTCAGAGACCAGACTTCCACTGACTGCCATTAGTATTTCTGTGCCCTCCACAATCTCCATTATTAAACAAACTTCATCCTGCTACCTTAGAGGACAAAACCAATGTGCATCATTCACCCATTTCACAGACAAGATAACTGAGAACTTGTACAAAATCACTTCACATAGAGCTAGAAACAGAACCCAAGTCTTACAGAGAGCCAAGCCTCAGACATTCTCACACACACCCTTTCAGAAGGGCTACTGCAAACTAGATGCTGCTGTACTCCACATTAACACAGTGTACCTAGAAGTCAGGCCACAGAGATTCACAACTCATAGTGCTTACACACTAGAAAATCTGATTGCTCAAGTGGTAGAGAGAGGCGTTTACATCCAGAGGTCCCACATCCAGCCTCCACAGACAACCCCAACAGGGACGTTTTCACATTTAGTTATGCTGTCTGTAACCACTAGTCCCCAATCTACTCTCAGTGCTAAGATGAGAAACCAAGAATCCTGATGCCCAGCATTCCATTACTGCCTCACAAACACTTGTGAAATCCACTGCCAACGTATGTGTCACATCTCCAGGCATGGTCTGGTCCACACACAGGATAACAACATGCTTTCCCACCACGGGCTACTAATATAGCTGAAGTGGAATAGTCTGTACTGTGGTTATGAAGGCTGTGGGTTCAAAAACTACTGATGTAAAAAGAATACATATATGTGTGAGGGAGTGTAAGGACCATGGACTGATTTTATATTGCAAAACATGGTATTTGATGTGGATTTGAATGCTCTGTTAATACCTGTTTTACTGTCACATTTTCACTGTCTGTATTTGGTTTAGTGACAGCTTTCCCTTGGACACAAGGTGAAGCACACTCAGCATGTGTGAGACTGACAGCAATGTATGAAAGATTTTGCCTATGTTCGAGTAGGATCCCATGCCTGTGTAAACTCCAAAAAGTAAGAACTTGATTTAATAAGCTTATTGTTTCCAAAAACTTTGCTGTCCCCATAAATACTGATGAGAGTGAAGCTATGCCCTGAGGCATCCCAGTGCATAGGTGCTGGAACTAGTGGTGCTAGGGGTGCAGCCTCACCGCCTGGCTTGAAGTGGTTTCCATCATATACAGGGTTTTGGTTCAGTGGCTCTCAGCGCCCCCACTCAGGGCCGCCCAGAGGATTCAGGGGGCCTGGGGCAAAGCAATTTCGGGGGCCTCTTCCATAAAAAAAAGTTGAAATTCTATAGAATACTATATTCTCGTGGGGGCCTGGGGCAAATTGCCCCACTTGCTCCCCCCATCCCCCGGGCGGCCCTGCCCCCACTGTACAAATTGTTCCAGTACCCCTGTCCCAGAGAGTTATAAAGCCTGTCACTGATAGGTCACCAGTGTAAATCCGGCCCACCTCAGCAGGGATTAAAAAGTTGTAGCCATCACAACTCTTTGAGATGAGTCTGGCAAGTCCACGTTGCAGCTCCCACATCATAGACTCATCACTTTACTTTGCACTAGACTAGATGGCAGTCTCTTCCCTGAAGAGCTTGTCTCTTACCACAAGTATCAGGGGTAGCTATGTTAGTCTGTATCCACAAAAAAACAACAAGGAGTCCGGTGCCACCTTAAAGACTAAGGGATTTATTTGGGCATAAGCGTTCGTGGGTAAAAAACCCACTTCTTGTTTTTTACCCATGAACGCTTATGCCCAAATAAATGTTAGTCTTTAAGGTGCCACGGGACTCCTTGTTTTTGTCTCTTACCACATAAAGCACCTAGCACTATGGGTCCTCAAGATCCTCTCTGCAGGAGCTCTCACTAGAAGATCAAAGTGATCTTCTTTACTATAAGTGTGAAAGTGGGCAACACTGCAATTGTCACAAATACTGCAGGTGGGTAGGGGGAGTGCAAAAATGATAAATCAGTCCAAAAACATGCTTTAAACCCTTGGGGGTTTGTTTGTTTTTTGTTTCTTTGTTTTTTTAAAAACCTCATGTTCTGGGGACCAATCCCAGGATTTTTGAACTTTTGGGACTGGCAGTTCAGTCAGTACCAACACTGCTGGCTATTACGTTGCTTATCAAAGCATGTGAGAAAGGAGAGGAAGTATTATACTATAAAGATCTTCACACCAACAGTTTCCAAAAGAGGAAGGAGCGCGTGGAAGACATATCATAAATTAAGATGTGCAAGCTCTTCAACACATGGTGAGGTTATAGTGGGCAGCACATTGGCTTTTTTCCCCCCCCTTAAGTGGATCTCTGCTTTCAAAAGTTTGGAAAACACTGGTATATTGCACCACTATTTAACACCACATTTGGCTCTGTACATGCACTTATGAATTGTACAAACATTTATACACATGCCGGTACAACACCTTTGCCAAAGATTTTAAGAAGAAAAAAAAAAAGTGAAAAAAAATCTAAAAGACTGAATTTTGAATACTGTAGCATAAAGTTCCTACTATATGTCCTGCCATGTAATGCTTACTACAATGGCAATGAGTGAGACCAAAACAAAGCCACAACAGCTACAACACTACATACAACAATAGTTAAGGGTCACTTTGAAGCCAAACCCATTGATCAGCAAAAACTAGAATCCCATGTGGTATTTATAGTTGTTTCTTCAACATTTATATTTTCCCAGAAAGATCACTATTAAGTATCCTAGCATAATAAGATTTTAACTGATGTTATCCAAGTTATACTGATTTTTTTTTCTACATCACAGAAACAAATGGGCTCTTCATAAATATTTTGAGACCAAACAGTGTTCAGTTAAAGGCCAATAAACTTTATGTCATTTTAAAAAAAAAATTAAAAATTAATAATACAATTTAAAAAAGCCCTATTCCCCTAATCATTTTACATTCCCTTGATTAGTTCTGCAGCACTGGAAGTTGTGAAATATGCTAATGGGGAACAGCTCCTGCATAACATTTGTGCCCAATAGCAATCACATCAGCAACCTTGTCTCTTTCTCAGAGGGAAGTACAGATTGAACACAACACCGTCCTCTTGGATCTCCAGCACAGATAAACTGCACAAGAAAGGTAAATGATAGCCCATTTCCAGACGTGATCTGTGAAGTCAGTTGTGTGATTTTAATGCTACAGATCTTTGGCCAAATGTTTCTCTTGGCTAAAACATACACACACCCAAAACACATGCACAACATGGATTTCTCCAATATATACACGTCAGTGTTTACAGATACAAAACCTTTGTTTCTGACACCTGTGAGGAAATGTGTGGCTCTCATTGGATGGGATTCACTACACAACAACATGTTTCTTCTATTTATTACCCCCCCCCTCGGTTTTACAAGGGCTGCTTATGAGAGCATTTAACCTGAAATAAATGACATGGGTGGGTGCTGTTTTCTGGTGTGACTTAGCATGCCTGGTTGGCTGACAGCATCTTCTGCAGGCTGTGAGCAAACCTTCATTAACTGGAAGATATAAAAATCCCCCGGCCATCCCTCCCTGCACTATTCCCTTTAATTCAACCTTGCAGAATTCTACTAGCAACCCATCTGGGACAAGTCCCCTCTCCCTGGCCCTTCGGTTCTCACAGCGAGGACGGGCAAGTGGATTTTCATGACCACTTTGCAAAGAGCTATAAATGTTATGGCCTCCGCTGATTTACCTGCCCCCAGAGCTTTTGCTGACTCAAACATTAACTGTAAAGGCCACCCCGGGGGGGGTGGGTATTTCAGGGAGGCAATTCGAGGGGGGAGCTGTGGGTTTGGGGATGTTAGCCGGGTGAGTGGTTTCAGAGAAGGGATTTGGGGGAGCCCCGGTGATTTGGCGCTGTAGGTCCGAGGGGACGTGAGAGGGGGTAATTCCCAAGAGGTAGTTCAGGGAAGGCTGAGAGCCAGGGGATGCCAGGAGGAAGCGGTAGGTTTGCGAGGGGCTAGAGAGGCCGGGGGAGGCTGCGGGTTCGGGGGCGCTGGAGGGATTGCTGATAGGGGGATTAGCGCAGCAGCCCGCAGATCTGGGGGTGCGCGAGGGTGATAAAGGGGGTCGGGGCCGCTAGAGGGGGCCGAGAGGCGGGATAAGCAGGGAGGGCGATGGGCTCGGCAGCCGACTCCGCCCGAGCTCGCCCCGGCCCGCCGGGCTCCCCGCCGCCCCTCACCTGGAGACGCAGTTCTCCAGCACCGAGCTCTTGCCGGCGCTCTGCCCGCCCACCACAGCGATCTGCGGCAGCTCCAACAGGCAGCTCTGCCCCAGCGCCGCGAAGGCGTCCTGCAGCCGGTTCACCAGCTCGATGAGCCCCTCCATCCCGCCGCCGCCGCCGCTGACAGGTAACAGACCAGGCTGAGCGGCGCGCATGCCCACTGCCCAGCGCGCCCGAGGGCGGTGCCACCCAGACAGGCCACGCCCACTGCGCCGGCAGGACACGCCCACCGCCTAGCTCCGCTCCCTGGGCGCTGTGGTGGTGGCAGCAGGAGCAGGCTGGGTGGGAAGGTAGCACTGGGCCCATTGAGCCACTGGGTCTGAGGCCCCCCTACTCTGGGGGTCCTAGTGTGACAGTGGCAATAGTGACTGCTGGTGCCAGTGCCCCCCCTACTCTATGAGGAAGCTGTGCTTGCTCTAGGGGGGCAGGGCCACCCCCCCACACATACATACACACACACACACACACACAGACACACAACACTTCACATACATAGGATTTTTTTTAAGGTAAATCATGAGATTATTTTTTACCTGATCCATTGGGAGCCCATTGTATTCACATTTTGCTGTCTGCACATGTTAGGTACACACAGGTCACATTTTCAAGCTTTTCTCCATACCTCTAGGGCCTCAAAACTTTTGTTTTTAAAATGAGGGCCAAGAGCAGGGTAAAAATCACAAAAGTTAGCAACCAGCTTCTATTCTAAACCCCTTCTTTCTATCCTACCTATAACTTTGGTTCAGAGAAAGCACAACTTACATTAGAAATGCCCTGCCATCCTTTTAGGTATCTGAAGAAACCCTGCTAGTTACTTGAGGATTATTTTTAATCTATTTTTTGTCTCCTGCTAGCTTCTTACTACCCCCTTCAAACTCACCCTTCAGCTTATGCTCCTTGAAAATGCTTTAGGCAGCTGTATGTGAAGAAAATAATTTACAATAAAGCAAGTTATGAATGATTTTCAGCATTATGTATACCGTGTGAGCCCTCTTTTGGGTAGTTGCACCCTAGAGAGGAGATAAGGGTTCTAGAGATGACAGCTTTTCTTTTGTATGCAGTGTTAGTGTAGCGATGTTGGTCTCAGAATATTAGAGAGACAAAGTGGGTGACAAGGTGGCTTGTCTCTCTTACCAACAGAAGATGGTCTAATGAGAGCTATTATTACCTCATCCACCTTGTCTCAGCTTTTCTTCTAGCTTGAGAGGTAGCGGCCTGTTGTTTTTGGAACTCTTAAACAAGGTTTCTGCCTCCAGCTTTGCATGTGTTTAGGCTCCCTCCTACAACTGGCTTCATGTGACCAGATGGCTGCTCCCACACAGAGCCCCATTTATATAAAGGGTTCTGTATGGAAGCCACCCACACAGAGCCAGTTGGAAGATTAAAGAACAACCTTCGAGATGCTATGGCCTCTCCCCAATGAAGGTTCCATCGAAGATCCCATTCTAAGACTGATTTTCATTCATCTTGTAACAAAAGGCAAGCAAACAGTAAAGAAAACCAAGCTTGCAATATTGTACGGTTAAAAAGCTGACAATTATAATCTCTTGTAAAAATTCAGTAAATATTCCTTGACCTGAGGAAATTTAAATATGTCTCCTTTTTTAAAATGTTGGCAAAGTGGCTGTGGATCTGCCCCAAAAGTGACATTATACCACAAAACGTGAAACTTAGGTAGAGTTTGACACTGGCTCGTGCAACAGCCACTTTTCAAGAATAGGGAGAGTAAAGAAGTTGCCGTTATTTTAAACTAGAAATGAGTCTCTGGCAGTGAAATTGATGCAGAATATTTTCATCGCTGACCTCTGAATTGGCCCAGGTTACTTCTCAAATGTGAAAGGAATCTACAAGATATGGACAAATGACTCCTCCTGCTCCTCCATTACCTACGAAAACTCCCCCTGAGCTTAGGGAGACTGTGTGGGAATCCATTTTCCCAAAGGGGTGAACTTAAGTGACTTGCTGAAAGTTACAGGGAATTTGTGACAGCGCCAGAAACCGAAACTTGGTCTCAAGGTAACAAACTCAGCCACATCTAAACTACTAGACCTGTGGTTCTCAATCTGTTTTGGTCTGTCACTGTGACCCACACAATGACCAAAAAATAGTCCCGTAGCCCAGCTCCCACACTCCTGAATCATAGGATAATTTTCAGCCCATGAGGCAGGCTTGTGGGGCGATTTTTCACCCATTTTGTGCACTGCAGAACTTGCAGACCAAAACAGGAGGAGCTGGGCCTAAGTGAGGCTTCTCCTTCCCCTTGCATGGTATTTAACTGCTGGGGTTGAGACTGAGAATCACTGCTCCTTAGGGGCTGCAAAGCCAGATCCATAACGCTTCAAACTCCAGCCCTAGAGCGGAGGAATTGCTCTCAGACTGGATAATGGATAGACCGGACAAAGCAGAAGTGGGACAGGAGTAGATTAGATTAGGGAGAGGGTGTAGGAAAAGCCTCAAGGAAAGGGCAATAAGATTTAAGATGGTGCAGACCTCAGTTGCTAATTAGAGGGTCCCTGAGCGGGAGCCTGGAGTAGAGAGGGTGGGACTGGGTTCTCCTACCAGACACTAGGGGGGTGGCACCATCAAGGCAGTGAATGGGAAGACTGCCAGAGACAGTATGTATGATAGACTTTGATACCCGAGAAGGGGGAAAACACATAGTTACCTGACCAGAGGGCCAAGCTAATGAAGAAAGGGCACCCTGAGTCGCAGAGGGAGAAAGGCAGCCTGGCACACACATGAGTGGCAAACAGGGGCTGTGGGACCTGAAAAGAGCAACCAGGAGGAGGTGCTGTAGTAGTGAGTGAACCCATCACAGGCACAGAAAGGTTCAGATGCTGATACTGGTATTGGCTGCATAACAACAGCCATTGGAGAGAGTGGACGCTAACCCTTGTTATGTGACAGAGCAATACCCTTTTGTATTGTAACCCTGACCCAGGTCATGTGACTGGGGCCAGGAAATAAAGGTTACCTTCTTACCAGGACTCTGGTATATCACCCCTTTAATACATGGTGTCTAAAGAAAAACTGGATCTGTGCCAAAAATGAAACCACCTGAATCCCACTTTGTGGAACAGTACCTGGCAGACAGTCAGTTGCAGCACATTCAAATTTTCTAGAAGGAAATGGTATTTCAGGGAAATCAGAGAGGGAAAAATGTACCTCGCTGCTACATGTGACAGGCACAGAAGCATTGGAGATCTACAGTCCAGTCCAGTGGGCGCATAGGGGAGACTGCAAACTGCTAGGCAAAGTCATTCAAAAATTTGAAGAATACTTTGATTCACAGAAGAACATCACTTGGAAAAGACGCATTTTCTTTTGAAGAAACTAAGTGCCAGGTGAGACCATTGACTATTATGTTACAGACCTGAGTAAGAAAGCAAAGCCACGTCAATTTCAAGAATGAACAGACAGATTGTTTAGAACCAAATTATTTTTGGTGTTACTGATAACTAAGTGAAAGCAAGGTTATTTTAATAAATTGACTTTATTTGTAAAGAGCAATGGATAGTTGGAGAGCTACTGAAAACTGTGCTTCCCAAATGAAAGTATTAGCAAACAGAGAAAGAACTGCAGTTTATTTAATTAAAAATGTGTACCTAGGCTAAAACTACTAGAGTATAAGGATAATCGAATGGCAGGGATCAGATTTGTTTGCAATGCAACACAAAGGTCCTGCATGCAATAAAAGTCACCATTTTGCAAAAAAGTGTCATTCTCAGCAAAAGTTGCAAAGAAATACAAAAGCAAAAATAGATTCATGAACATTCAGCTGGAGGACAAAGTGATGAGGAGGAGCTGGCCTCTTAATAAATTTACAAAGCAAAGTTCTACAGTTGTTTGTAACACTGGAAATAAATGAACAAAGAGTGAACTGCAGAACAGATCCAAGATAATCCCTGCAAACAGAGACATTCTGTAGATGGACAGTTATCATTTCAAAGAGTTTGAAACAGGAGGTGCTGTGTGTACTTTGAATAGCAATCTGGAAAAGGAGATAATCAAATGGGTGTGTAACTTGTCTGCAGAATAGAATGCAAAAAATATTCTTCAAGAGTTTAGTGAAGTGATTAACCAAATGGGATGCATTATGAGTGTATACAACACGTCACACTGATATAAATCCCAGTGTCCCTCCCAATATGCATGCACCACATAAAAGTCCCATTGAGCACTGAGAAATAAGACAAAAGCTGAATTTTGCCAGATGGTAACTTTAGCATGTGGGTAGTCCCATGAAGTCAACATGACTAATTCATCTGCTTAAAGTTAAGCATGTGCATTAGTGTTTGCAGGATTGGAGCCTAAATTTGTTGCATCTCTCAAATGCTCCTTAGAAGTTATTAGCTTGGACAGCAGCATTCACTCCTTTAATTTAATACCCTGTTGACTATCCCCTCCAATTTAGTTAACTTTTTAAACTGCATCTTCATTTACTATCACAAAATTAAAAAATGAAAGGTGTAAAAAAAAAAAAAACAAAAAAAAATCCCCCAAACCTGAGAAATTCCCAAACCAAAAACTGGCCAAAGACCAGGTAAGGTTGGTAAATGACAACTGTATCCTTACCTATCCTATCATTTACAAATAACAAGCACCTAAAAGCCAAGAAATGAAGAGTTAAGGACATACTAAATCTTGTACCTCCCAGAATAAACATTAGAATGATTTGTTTATCAAGTACAAAGAAATACAAATTTCATCATGACACAATCAGTTTTCAAGTTGCTCCCAGAGGCCAGAGAACAAACACTAGTTTGGAGGGGGGGAAATGGGGAGGCATTTTTGATCCCTGATTTTTTTTCAGTGTACAGCTTTTAACGTGTCATTACCATATACTGTACTAACACCTTGTCTACTCCTGGAAATTAACAGAAATAGATACTCCAGAATAATTATCCTGGAGCAGTTATTTCAGTATGAACCCCCATGTGGACACACTTATTCCAGAAATGAATTGAGCTAAATCAGAAAAAACATTCTTATTTTAGAACAAGAGTAGGCATTTTCTAGTGCAGAGAAGCTCAGAGAGCCCCAGTCCCAAGCTGGGGAACATGACTTGACTATCTGCATTTCCTTTTGAATTTTTGGGGTTACA